AATTCCAGACGAAATGACCAGGAATCTTCCCTTTCCTCTGTGTTCCGCCTCTGTTTCTACTGAGCTTCTTTTGTATTGCGTATCGTTTTTAGATGATTTATTTGCTTTGATTGTGGGCTGGTTCAAGTTTTCTGTTTCAGTTTTTTTGGGGCTTTTCTATTGGCTGCCACCTCTGAGAATTGAATCCTAGTTGACTTGGTTTGGTCCTGGGGTGAATGCCCACTGCCTCTGTTTTGCGTTTTACGCAATTCCTTGGTCTTGGTTGCATGCTGCGCAAGCTTGTTCTCTGGAAATTGGTTGTGCAGGCTGTAATGGTGTTACTTGAGATTGTTTTTTGAATAATTTTTTTCTGATCACAGATTTATAAAAAAATTCATGCTAAATTAATTCTCTTTAAATTTATAATTTTTTTAATTTAATTTTAATGTAAATTGATTTTAAAATTAAATCTCAAAAAATCTCTCAGCCTCATTTTCATTTCGCTAAAACTTTTTCTTTTTTTTTTTTTAACTTTTTTTCTAGACAAAAGTAAAATTAAACAAAAAATTAAGTTAGAAATAAATTTTTTCAATTGAGTCCAATTTATGATCGAAATCTTTTTTCAATTCTAAAAAATTTTATGAACAAAACGAGATATTTACAATATATGGTATTATATTAATTAATCTAATATATTTATGTTTAATGTATTGTCAGATTTTATATATTGAGTGTATACATTGTTGTAAATCAAATAATATTAATTTATTAATGAATAATTTTTTAAAAAATTTAATTTTTATATATTTATTTTAAAAGTTAATATTTATTTATTAATAAAATATTATTATTTGTTTTATTGATAATATATATAATTTATATATTATTAGTGTATTAAATATAAATTCGTGCATATTTTTTAAAATCAAAATTTTAGATTTTTTTTAATTTTTCTTTCTTTTTTGTAGGAATGGTTCATAAAGTCCAAATAATTCTTAAAAAAAAAAAAAGGAAAAAGGAAGCCATGCATGCAAGAGGTTTTTTACCAGTCATATGATGCCTGTTTAGGAGGCTAGCAATTAAGTTCAACCGAATCTGAATTTGGAGACTTACTATTTGATTGTATAATTTCAGCAATATTCATCAACATTCAATGAAGTAATCAATTTGGTGTTGTGCTCTGAATAAGAATTGACATAGTAGCCACTTCAAATTTCACATGTGGGTTCACCAAAACCGGAGACCTTCGATTTGATCTTCCATGTGCACATCGTCATTAAGTCCTGGTCACGTCGTTGTGCTTTCGCTTTCAAGTCACAAGAAAATGACATGCAAAATGTAGGGTAAGCAAATTTTTATTTAAGGAGAAATTATTCAATAAACTATATATTCCTATTGGTCATGAGCATTAGACTTTTCACCCTGTTGAAATATTATTATTTTTCATGTACGATATTTTAGTTATTCAGCACAATTATTTTTAAAAAATAATATTTAATAAATTTAATATTTAAATTTTAATATATGTAATATCTTTATATATACACGAGTTGCATCTTTTTTTGTATTAATAAATGGTAAGTACTTACTTTTTTTCTAACAACTATGTTCTTTTTAGCTCATGCTTTGTATTATTAGTATTATTAAATTAATATTTAATATTCAAATTATATTAGAATATTATTATAATAATATTAAATATTAAAATATTCTTAAATTAGTATTTAATAATAAAAATAGCATTATATTATTATTAAAATAATAATATATTATTATATTAATATTTAATAATAAAATATTATTAAAATATTATAAAATAATATTTTAATATTACGCAATTAGTTTTTAATATGAAAATAATATTTAAAAATTATAAAATAACATGAAAAATAATATTTAATTAATATTTAATATTCAAATAATATTAAAATGATATGAAATATTAAAATATCATCAAAATAATATTAACATGTTATTAAAATAATATTAACATATTTTGCAAAAAATACTAAATACTATTAAATTATTATTTAATTTTACAATAATATGAAAATATTAATAAATTATGGAAATATAATTAAAATATTCTTAAATATTCAATATTAAATAATAAAAAGTATTAAATAATATTAACATAAATTAATTTAATATTTAATTTTAAAATATTATTAAAATAAAATAAAAGTCATATGAAAATATTATTAAAATACTATTTAAATATTATTAAAATAATATTTAAATGTTATTAAATTTATATTTAATATAATCATATTAATAGTTAATACTATAAAATCAATATTTAATATTAATATATCAATATTCAATATTATTAAATTAAATTTTAATATATTAAATTAATATTTATTATTATATTAACATTTAATATTACTCGATAATATTTAACATTATTAAATAGTAGTTTATATTATGAAATTATTATTTAATAATATGAAATTACTATTTAATATTATTAAATTAATATTAAATATAATTTCTTATCGAACAAAAAAATAAATTAATATCTTTAACCTTTCTCACCATTTCATTCTTAAGAAGGTAAAATCCTAAAAATCTCTCTAAAAATTTAAAAAATAAAAATAAAATAAAATATTAATTTTACAAAGAACATAAAAATAAATTAAAAAATTTTAACCTTTATTACCTTTCATCCATAAAAAGGACTGAATTGTTGATAGTTAGGTCTTGTAGAAAGAAAAAAAATAATAAAATAGAGATTAAAACAATAAAAACATTTAAATTGAATATTTAAAAAATAGAAAGATTAAAATAAATAAGATTAAAATTTTAAGAGATTAAGATATAGATTTTAAAAGAACATAAACAAAACTTATACATTTAACTTTTAGATTAAAAACATTAAAAGAAGTATATAGTTTGTAAATAAATATATCATAACAAACACAATAACTCAAACATTACCATAAGCTTAAGAAAGTTTTAAATAAAATCAATAAAGAAACCATTAATTCAAAATTTATAATAGTTTTAAATAAATCAAATTATAACCATAATGAAAAAAATTAGAAACCAAAAAAATAGTGAGAATGTCATAAAAATGATAAATATTAGATATCAAATAACTAACTATAACAACTTCAAATTTGGGTTGCAAATATTATACATTAACTAACCTTGAAAAATTTTAGTGATTAAAGAAGTATAACAATTTGAGGTTCATTTTCAAAGCTAAGTACTTCTCTTTAAATTCAAAAACAAACTTGTTCCATAAACTCTTATAAAATTTGACTAAAAAACAAAAAAAAATATTAAAATAATATATACTTCGAATAATAATAAAAAATTTATTTTTTAAAACAAATCATCGTAACATTACTAATATAAAAATATTAAAAAAGAATATCTTAAATCTTGAAGGTATAACATTATAACATTACACAATTTACAGACTAGTCACCAACACTTTAATGATGAGACAAATTTATGTAAAAAACAACACCATTAATATTTAATGAAAAAAATTTAAAAAATTAATTTAAAGAAAAACAAAAAAACTTAAAAATCTATAATAAATTACGAAAAAATAAAAACTATTAAGCACTTAGTAAAATACTTATCAAAACAATTATAAGCTATGAAACAAAAATTATAAAATATTTACACTTTTATCAAGCATTTCTTTGATGATGATATTATTAAGAAAATGAATTATATTTTTAGTAACAATTGCCCAATAATCATCTTTCTTTTTTAAAATAAGAAAATTTTTGATATAATATAAATCCCTTTCATGAATTTTATTTTTTAACCGATATACATTACAATGCTAAATAACATAATAAATATAAAATCTCTACGAAGTATAAAAAATGATAAAATAAATCAAAAATAAAATAAAGACAAAAATATTACAAAAATTAATTTATTTTTGTACCTTTTTTTCAACCAATATCATTTTTGTGCCAACACTTTCTTTAGTCTTATAATTATAAAATATCTCATAATCTACAAATACAAAATTTGATCATTCAATTCTCTTTCTCAAAAGTCAATTTAGTAATCGTGGTATACTGTAATTGGTTAAAAAATCATAATCATGACAAAAATAAAAAATAATAAAATGCAAAGAATAAGAAATATATCAATCAGCTAAAAAAACTTAAAATGTCAAACAAAAAAAATCATAAATCATGATTAAAAAATATAAATTATAAAATTATAAAAATACAAACACAATAAAAAACAAACATTCTGATTAGGAAAAGAAAATATAATATAAATACACTTATATAACTATCTCATCTTTAAAAAGAAGATGAAAAAAAATCATAAGTCGTAAGAAAAATAAAAATAAAAAACATAAATGTTAGGAAACCAAAAGTTTCAATAAATTTTAATAAATGATGGTTTTAAAAAATATAAATAAAAAAATTAAAAGTAAAAAATACATATAAATATTAGACAACTAGAAGTTTATTTTATTTTATATAATAAAAATATGAGATATAAATTTTGGAATTTATGTGTAAAAGACTGGATAATTATTTTAAAATATCTGAGTTATATATATATATATATATAATGATATGATTATGTGTATCTTTTAGATTCAATTATTTCAATTTTTTTTAGATAATTGAAATTATCATAATTCATACTTTAATTACTGAAATTAAAAGTTAAGTACTTTATTAACAATTCATGAATCTGTTGGCATGATTCTTTCACTTTTACAGTCAACTATATCATGAGAAATATAAATGCTGCAATCTGTGAAAGAGAATCAATCAACCTCTCGAAGTTGCTTGCCCAATAACAAACTCTCAACTTCTACTTTTGTGTTTTCAAAACAACCTTTCAAATAGGAATTCATTTATCTCTCGTGGATTTGTCTTCCAATATGGAAATATGTTTGAAGTAGTTTTCACGCGTGCTTAAAGAGGTAGCTCCCACTATAAATTCACGTGCTTTAATGTTGTATTGTCTGATTTGATTTAAAGATTTTATTATTTTATTGAGTCAAAGTATTTGGATAAGTAGAACCAAATTATTGTCCTTCCAATGGGATTTGATCCATCGATCCCAACAACCATTCAACTTTCTTTGAAGAGATTGAAATGCTAAATTGCCAACCATAATTCTGCAATAAAGAGTCTTCGAAAAGAATATAAAGAAGCAACAGCATCCCAAGAAAAAGAATATAAATCTTAAGATGGCATCAGACACAAGCCTGGACGCTGCACTGTTGCCAGAAACTTCGGATAGACAAGAGGAGAATACAAAAAGAAGCTGTTGGAGAAAAGTTTTAGATGTAGAAGAAGCGAAGAAACAAGTCTTATTTGCACTACCAATGATCCTTACCAATGTCTTCTACTATGCCTTTACTTTGGTCTCTGTCATGTTTGCCGGTCACCTTGGTGAGCTTGAGCTTGCTGGTGCCACTCTTGCCAATTCTTGGGCCACTGTCACCGGCTTCGCTTTCATGGTAACTCTTACTCTCAAGTTTACACCAACTGCTTGCTTTTCAATTTTTTTTTTTTTTGGTAACAGGAGATCCTCCTTCGAGAATAAATGAAGAAATTATAAATATTATAATTCAAAATTTAAATTTATTAAATTTTTTTTAAAATAATTGCATAAATAATTAAACTGAAGTATAAATTATTAGTCAATCTCTATTAATCAAATATAATTTTAGAGTGTTCGATTTTAATATAAGTAGCACTAATGAAATCAACACTTTATTAACAAATTATGTAATTATTAAGCAACAAATGTCAAATTTTGGCACAAAGAAAACATAATCATTCATATCTATATCTTATATCGATACAGAAATTAAAAGGGTATTTTTCTATGCTTGGAAATCACTGGCAAACAGAAACGCTAGGGAGTCCTCAATTATGCATTACGTGTGACATACAGATGCAAGATAAAATAGCATAGAAGTTGAAATTTTTTTTTCTTTTATTATTTGCGGGGGCAAAAAAAAAAAACTGAGATTCGAATTTTAATTTTAATCACTAAATCAAACATCTAAAAATATAAAAATTAAAATTTTTAACCATTAATTCGGTTGTACTTTGGATTATAATTTTTGGATTATTAAATAATTCCCATTGGCGTTTTGTGTCAGAATTGTCTTCTAGTTGCTGGTCCCAAACATCATAGGTCACTGTCTATTTATTGGAAAATTAATTGTCGGCAGTATCCTGACAGTCACGCCTTGACTGCTACTCTGGATTGGTAGTCATTTCACATTTAAAGTTGTGGCTATAGTTGAGCCATTTTAAAATTTCGTGATAATTTTTATAAAATCGAGTTAATAGTATATCCGAATACTTACAGGTTGATAATTCATAATAAATAAATAAATATTATTTTAAGTACTTCAAATTAGAAAATCTGTTTTTTTTTTTTTTTCTTTATAAAAAGTTATAAACACCATTTATTTCAAAGCTCGCATGCCAATCTCACATTTCTAATTTAGGCATTTTGGTAAGTGCTCATTTTAATTCCTTGGGCTTAGATTCTAAGGTAACACTGTGAAAGACTAATAAATCTGAAACTGGATTTTGATATAAGGGATAAAAATCATTTTTGCCAATTTGAAGTATTTCAAGTAATATTTATTTGTTATGAGTTATTAATTTATGCTTATAGTTGAACCACACGTTAACATTCCATGATAACTCTTACAAGACCGAGTATATGGGATTAGAACTATAATTATGTTTCAAATTTGAAGAATCATTCATTCTGTATGTCCATTTAGGCAGGTTTAATTTGCTATATTTAAACAGTGCTTTCCTTTTTTGTTCTTGTGTTCAGATAGGACTAAGTGGAGCACTGGAGACTCTTTGTGGTCAAGGATTTGGTGCAAAAATTTACAAGATGCTGGGAATTTACCTACAAGCTTCTTGCATAATTTCTTGCCTTTTCTCAATTATTATATCCATTTTTTGGTTCTATACTGAGCCAATACTAATCTTGCTTCATCAGGAGCCTGCAATTGCGAAAACAGCTGATCTCTACATTAAGTATCTCATCCCAGCTGTGTTTGCATTCGGTTTTATACAAAATGTTTTGAGATTTCTTCAAACACAAAGCATTGTTATGCCCCTAGTCTTGTTCTCAGGGCTGCCATTGGCCCTTCACTTTGGCATTGTTTATACTTTTGTTAATTGGACAAGTCTTGGTTTCAAGGGTGCTTCATTGGCTGCTTCAGTCTCTTTATGGATATCTTTTCTTTTCTTGGCAATCTATGTAGTTTGGTCAAAGAAATTTGAGCACACATGGGAAGGTTTTTCTTCTGAATCATTTCGTTATATCGTTACGGACTTGAGATTAGCCCTACCATCTGCAGCAATGGTGTGGTGAGTTTTCCAAAATTTGATCATTTCTATAACATCACAATCCCATATTGGGATGTTATAAGGATTTGCAATGATAAATGTAAAGACTTAAAGGATTTGCAATGATAAATGTAAAGACTTAAACTTATAATTGTAAGATAATTTTTTATAAATAAAATCATGAGACCTTCAAATTAAAAAGTACAATAAGTTTAGTATGGGTATTAGGACACCAGGGCAACATTATCTTATTAACTTCTATGTTTTTCCGTATTTTGCCAGTCTGGAGTATTGGGCTTTTGAACTTCTCGTGTTGCTAGCAGGATTGATGCCAAATTCAGCAATAACTACTTCACTGATAGCAATGTGGTAGGATACTGCTTCTCTTTCTGTTTGATTTTTTTCACCTGATTTAAGTTTCAATGGTTGATTCTTTCTCCTGCTATGACGTCCAGCGTAAATACAGAAGCTATTGCCTTCAATTTTACTTATGGCCTTAGTGCTGCAGCCAGGTCAGTTTGCAGAATTTTTTTCTAATATTTTTCATCAATCTCTCAAGCTATCGATATTGAGATAATGAAACCTGTTCTGACAGCACAAGGGTGTCAAATGAGTTGGGAGCTGGAAAACCTGACAGAGCTAAGAATGCTATGGCTGTTACTCTCAAGCTCGCTGTTCTTCTTGCTCTTGTGGCTGTCCTTGCTTTAGTCTTTGGTCATAATATTTGGGCTGGTTTCTTCACTGACAGTTCTTCCATGGTAAAAGAGTTTGCCTCAATGACACCATTTCTTGCAATGTCGATAGCAGTAGATGGTTTTCAAAATGTCCTCTCAGGTCAGAAACCATCCAATTTTTCTATCTTTTTGTACATTGACTAGCAAATTGTCCTTTAGAAGTCTTTTTTTGGTACAACAAAGGAGGCCGCAGCCTAAGGATTAAGGAAGACGTTGAGTGGCAGGTGTGAGAATTTTAACCTCAGACCTGCTGAATGTCACATTTTAAGATAGTTACATGAATCAATTGAGCTAAGCTCTAGGTTCGCCCTTTAGTAGTTTTCAAGTTCCTGATATTAGTGTCTTCTTTTTTTTTTAATGTTTCAGGAGTGGCAAGAGGTTGTGGTTGGCAGCACTTGGTTGTAGTTACTAACTTAGCAGCATTCTACGCCATTGGCATGCCAATTGCAGCCCTTCTTGGATTTAAGTTTAAGTTCTATGCTAAGGTGAGGAAAATATGATTCTAGTTAAAAAAATACATCAGAAAACTCTGTTTTTTCTTTCTCTCTTTCTTTTGCTAATTGATTCCTTCTGTGTTTTTTTTGTGCAGGGTCTATGGATAGGCTTAATATGTGGACTTTCGAGCCAATTCGCCGCCCTCCTGTTAATCACATTTCATAGGAGATGGACGAAGATTAACATTTCAGCAGAACGAGATCAGGGTACTCTACGGTCTGTTTAACCAAATCTCCCTGGAAAGATGATATAAGAACCAGAGAATCAGAGATTACCTGGATAGGCCACAAGGGCAATATGCAGTGATAGTAAATTTTTTGCGGAGGCAATCTTTGAATCTGAGATGCTTCAGTTTTTTGAATCAGCTTCAGCCATTGTTTTCTTGATTGTTCTCTTCAGATAAAAGGGACATTTGTGTTAGTTATTAAGCTACTAAAATAAGCTGCGAACAAGATTATAGTTGCTTGCATGTAATATAAGCTTAATGTCCATCAAATTCGGATGGAGAAAGCGAAATTTGCCCTAGTTTTTCATTTTGAAATGTTATAATTATCCAAGCCTATGTAATTGCACCTTTGGAAATTAGGGTGGTAAAACAAGGAACTTTTGATGCCTTAATGGATTACCATGTGTCCCAAGGAGCTTCCATGAACCAATACAAGATACCTAGTTGCGTCAAATCTAAGCAAGCCATAAAGATTTTAGATTCCAGAGTGATAGGAAAGTTTTTCAGCCAGAAGAACCAACATAATAAGTTGCATTCATTCCTATGTTTTGTTTGAAGGAAGGAAATTTGGCAAGAAGAACTAGCTTTTATTTGTTCTTTTTAGTACTTTGCCATTCTGGTCAAAAGAGAAAATATTACGATAACCTTTGTTTTTTTTTTTTCCTTTCACATAAGAGGCCACAGCGTGGAAATCGAAGGGATTGTAGATGTTTGGATTTGAACTCCAAACCAACCCTTGCAGATGTCTTTTTAGAATAACCAAATAAACCAACGAAATTAAACTCTAGGTTGTTCAATAACTAGTTTTCATGACTACAAGCTTTGAAATTCACCTCCAAATTAAACAGCTCTTTTCTAAAACCAATTACCTTCCCTAATTCTTTGGAAAACCTGATGAATGTTTGTGCTTGTATGTGCCTATATTTGTTTCAGCTCATGAAAAGAAAGAACCTGAAAATATTTCAGTTCTGCACTTCTGATTGAGATACATACACATTTCAAGGCTTGACAAATAGTAGTACATATTTCTAAACTTATGCCACTGGAAGGGGAAACCATATAAAGTCTAGTTGATACAAAAGAAGAGACTTATAGTGTAAAAGTTGGCTTAGTAGAATGCTAAATTTTTTTTTGGGTACATAAAAGTTCATATCATAATAGACTGCAGGCCTAAAAAAATATTTATATTGAATTTACAAATCGTTTACCAAAAAAGATTGTTAGTACTGAAGTTCAAACTTGTATCTTCAAAATTAAATATTTGAATCTTATCAACTTAAGTGAGTCTCATTTGCAATAAAAATCTTTGTAACTCTAAAGAAACCACCCATTATGGAAGAACCATTAGGCCTAGACTGGAGTTTTTGCACTTCTACTTGGCCTAGATGATCATTTTCCGGGTAGTTCCATCTAATTCGATTAGTTCTAGCCCCTTCATTATCAACCATCTTCAAGAGAATCACCACAAACATGTTGCATCTTCAAATCAAGTTTGCCCAACTGCCCCATGAATTACTCAACTCTGAATCAAGAATGGGTGAGAAAGACTTTGACCTATAGATCTCTTTTGACACTATTGAACAAATTTAGCTTAGCGGGCAAGGACTCATCAACCGTCTGAAAACTCATTTCTTTGTCTCAATATTATCTTCTCTAAGCTCTCCCTTTTTTGTAATCACAATCTAAGAATAAAACAAAAAAAAATTGCAAACATACAGCTTATAGAAGCAAGTTTTTTTTATCTTTTCAACTGGGGGTTTATTCTGGGTTTTTGGATAAGCTTCGTTGGAGGATAGTTTAATCTCTGTAACCAAACACTTCCAGGAAATTAAAATTAAAACTCTAATTCACACTTCCACAAATGGTTTATTTTTCTTCCCCACTCCAATTATATACGGTGTATTTTGATTTTTCTTTAAATCCCCTCCTTTTAGTTTAGGAACAAATAGCAAGGAACGCATCAAAGAGTTTATTCATTGTTTTACAAATAAATGAAAATTTTCTGGTTAGGTTAGCGAAATTTGCAAATAAGAAATACACTGATTCTTTTTGTATTTGGTAAATAGAAATACACTAATTCCAGCATAAACAATTGTTTCACCAACAACCTTTAGGGAAGCTTCGATGCAAAGAGTAAGCTTCTCTGCATAGCTGAATTGCCCAAGTTGAGTTTGCAGATCAAACTCTTATGCATTCAGAGTTTTAGATTCTCGCAATCTCATAGTCTTGGCACGCAATCTCCCCATGAATGCTGGATTGGCTCTAAGTCTGTTCCTAACATATGAAGTGCGAGCTTCCTCTGCCATTTTGTTAGCTTTACTGGCTTCCTCAATGAGAGAAAAAAGAGTTCTAAGGCAATCTCTTCTGTTCTCTTCTAGGTGTTCAAACCTGGAAAGATGGAACAGTGAATAAAAAAAATTTAACAATCCCCAAAGAATGAGAAATGCAAAGAATAAGTCTATCAATCATATCCGAACAGACAAAACATTGTTATTTAATGATTAAGGCATATTTTCTGAGACCTATTACCAGATTGCATAGTTCAGATTCCTTTTAGGACAATTTATTGTAGTTTACTTGGTGCAAGAAGTCGTTACATTTCTATTACACAGCACCGGCTTTGCAGGGGTTTCAGAAGATTGTTAAGGCCAATATAAAGACAAAGAAATATGAAAAGAGGCACAAGTCATATGGAAAGAAAAAAGCAGTATCTTTACCTCTCACTAGTAATTGTGAGTTCATCTTTGCCTGGATGGTATCTCTTCCCAACAAGCTCTCATAACCGGTGAAATTGATGCCTTGAAAGCCCAAGCTCCTTCACTGTAACAGCCATCTTTACTTTTCTGTTTTTGGGATGCCATGCATCACCACCAGGAGCAAAGACAACCCATGTTTGCCACCTAAGGATTGGCCCTTCACCAGGTGGATCATCCAAGTTCTTTTTCATGTCCGGCACAGCAGTCTCATCAAATTTTGGAGGGCCCTCAGCTTCCATCATCCTTCCATATTCCATAACCATCTGATCCTCAAATTCTTTGAATAGCTCATAAGCTTCTTCAACTTCAAGTTCACCTCTTTCACACATATCGCCTAGCTCATTAAACCTTTCTTCCACCTTTTTCTTCATCTCATCTGATCAGGCCAACATAAATTAAATCACAGCTGGTGAACATCCATTTATAAAGAACATTAAAAACAAGTAACTACTTGCATAATGCCATACCTCAGTCACTCATTCAAAAATTTCTTCTTAATAGTTTCAATTATCATTGACATAACATTAAGAACTATAACAAGACAAAGTTTAATGACTCATGATGGTCTGAAACTACAACAACTACTCTAGCAGTCTAGCTATCCCTTGATCCAAGTCATTTCAAATGATCACCCAACTTTTTTCTTTCCCTAATGGATTGATAATCTCAGATCTACCAGTATTGTAGATGAAAAGCTATAATTAGCAGAGATTTACAAGTCCACCATACAGAGTAAAGCAATTCAGTATTATAGAACCAGAGAGCCTTACATAAAAAGGACACATGATGATATGTTAAAATTAGGACAAACCTGGAGGAGCTTGTCCCAGCTAAGCGTGTCCTCTAGAATCTCCTCACATTTCTTTGTGTCTTTAAGATATCCATGCTGAACCGCTTCCTTAATCATCTCATCCCACTTCTGATCATCCATGTTAAAGTACTCATCCTTGACCATTTTCTTCATGACTATATCCCTGGCATCATACAAATCATCAATCTCTTCATCAGTCGAGTACAACTCTTCAAAATCTGATTCAAACTCTTTGTCCCCCCACAACGTCAATTGGTTGCATCACCATTTCGTCCATCAACTCATCATCCGTCTCCTCATGCTTCCCAACCAACTTTCTCCGCAAAATGGCCTCGAGAATTGAGAGGAGTGCCTCCTCATCCCCTTCAAAATATTTCTCAATTCGCATTTTCAGCTCTGCCACCAAAGAACTAACAAAGTTAAATTACATAATTAAGAAACAAACTATCACTTGATTTTCTCATTATCCAAACAAATAATTACCAAAGCAAAAAGAAAATTCCAGGAAAGAAGAAACACAGATTAAATCCTCAGACCCAAAGTTTAAAACTTTTTACCAAACTAAGAACACGAACACAACAGACTAATGAAAAAAAAATCAAACTTCTTCATTCATTTTCTCTTTCTTTTCTCATCATCCAAACAAACATACCACAAACAAATTACCAAAAATAGGAACCCAAAAAATTCAATTTTTTTTACCCAATTCTTACCTTTATTACTCACATCCTCAACCATCCTTGACATGGGCTTGAGGTAATGAAGGAGATTCAGCAGCTGGGTTAGGCTTTTTTCATCAGGAGAATCCAATTCGGACGAATAGAACCTGAGTCGAGACCGAGTTGAAGAGGCTAGTGGGGTGAATGACTGAACTGCGTGTTTGTTGGTTTTGGTACAAGAGTGACGAAAATTGCGAGCAGTGAGTGAAATGCTTCTCAACAGAGCTCTTTTCATGGCTTCCAAAGAACGGTTTTAGGATCTGGGTTTTCCCTTTTTTTTCGGTTTCACTGTTTTTTCAGTTTCATTTAGGGAAGAAAGAACGAGTTTCTGATTTGTTTTGGGCTTTTGATTTGAGAAGGAGAAATGCTTCTTGGTTTGGGTTTTAGGCTTAGAGCCCATTATTATCATGGCTGTTGTATTTGGATCAAATTGAGATGATTTCTAATTTATTTCGACATTTGACGATTAGTTTATTTGTATTGAATAAAATATAAAAATTTATATATTTATATTATATTTTATATGAATATTATATATCATAATTTATATTGATATAAAAATATAAAATATATATTTTAATTTTGTTAAACCCTTAAACAATTATTATTAAAAATTTAAATCATATCAATTTCGTATTTATTTTTTATATTATGTTTATATTTTATCACTATATCATATTTTAAATTTTCAAGTTCACTTAAATTTCAATTGTTTTAAATTTGAGATAATTGGTATAGAAATAGAGTTAGATTAAATTCCAATTAAAAAAATTATTGTTACTTAATGTAGCAATAATTTTAAATTCATTTATTTTATCAATTCATTAAATTTAATGTAAATAAATTGTTTTAAATTAATTTAAAATTTTCAATGTTTAATAAAAATTCAAAGACAAATTTACCTTCAGACAATACAAGTTCTAGTTATAGAAACTAGCCTAGGGTAGCACTTGTCAAGTAAGTGAAACAGCTAACCAGAAGTTATCCCACTTGAGTCTCAACTGGTACAAAATATGACCTGGCAGATCTTTGTCTAGTTCAAGAAGTGTTGGGATTCAACCAATGACAAAGTAACAACTTTTTTCTGCAGTTTTTTGGTTTTTTCTTTCTTTTAACTTCATTTTCAATCATAATCACAACAAAAGTCTTGCTTTTCCATTTTGGCCTGCTTTGTATGTTCCCATTGCTTAAGAACTCTGATAACTGATGTCTCTAGGACAAGAAAAACACTAGATTAAAAAGGAAAAAAAAAAAAACAAGAGATAAATGAACCATGCTGCATGATTGCATACCAAATCAAATTTAAATGGCAAAGACTGCTGTTTGTTTTCTTCTAAGAAAATTACATGTGTGGGTCATTAATCTCTTTTTCTTCACAGTTTCTTACCAACCTTACCTAGCCTTTGATAACTTGAAAAAATCCTTAACTGCACTTTCAGTACTGTTGGGACAGATCAAACCAAGCTAAAACCGGTGGAGATAGTTAAGAAAAGCGATTAAGGAAGAAAGAGTTTTAGTAAGGCCTAGGTTCGATTCTGTTACCAGCCGTATTTTTTTATGGACGATGTGTAAATTCTCGCTGATATATGCTATTGTGCCTTTAATATGAGATGCAATGCCTTCCTCACCCTAAATTTTTATTAAAAAAAACCAATAAAAGAAAAAAAAAAAAAAAAAGGCTGCAATGGCAATGCCTTTGTACTATTTTCATTTAATTTTAAGATAGTTCTTTTGCTTGCCTTCCACTTAACATTTTGGTGTAGAAAGTGAAAAAGATTAGAGGATCTAATATGAGGACACATCTTTGATCTTTTTTCCTTTGCTTTTTGTGGGCCATTTTTATGATAGCTGGTTTGCTATTAATAAACAACTGCTAAGTTTGGATACAGCAATGAATAAAGTTACAAAGATAAAGCAGTCTTAGAACTAACCAAATTTTCAAAAATTCCATTTTTTTTCTTAAAAGAAAATGCACCCACAATTTTTCCTGTAAATTGGACTCTAATGGATATCCTAATTCTTTCACTATGGTGGATTGGTCCATTATTAAATGCAGCCAAAATGTATTCCTTGTCCAAGTGACTCTCCTTCAATTTCTGAAAAAAAAAGGCCTTTCCCTTTCTCTTTCGCTATACAAACTCAATTATCAAAGGAGAAATAAACATTCTTACAACAACTGTCATGGTTTGGACTTTGGGGGTAATTGAGACAAGAATTTTTTTCATTTCTGAAACCCTCTGAGCAGAAAAGAGCTACCAAGCTGACTTGCTTTTGATTGTACATTGAAAGGAATTACTATTGCATTTTCATAAAAACAAAAGGCAGGACAGCCAAAAGATTAGTTCAAGAAAGTCAAATTACTCAAAAGGATAGATAGCAGTAACTGACTTGGCTTCCTGGCCATTACAACCTCCCAAAAGAAAGAAATTGACTTCTTCATTATGCAAAACAAAAAAGAACTAATGAGAAATTAGTTGTAATTTTTCTCATATAGTCTATGGAGAATTCATCTAGTTTTTATAGTTTAACTACCAAACCAAAATCCAAAAAGAAAGAAGAAAGAAGATAGTTGAAAAGAAGACCTTTACCATAATCAAAGGGAGATAAAATCATACAATTGAAGAAAGATCCTCTACCCTTTTTTTTTCACTCAAATTCAGCCAAAACCTATTAATCCTCTTGACAAATCGCCCTCTAATTACATAATCACTTTCAAATTCTCAAGAAGAACCTGAAACTTTTGGTGAAGTAACTGGAAACAGTGGCAAAAGCTGAGGCTCAGTGTCTCTAGGAGTTGACATAGGTGATGGGTGCAAGTAAAAACGTTTCTCAGCTATAGCTTTCTCTTCTTCTGATGAATTCCCTAAAGAAGGTGAAGACTTGTCGAAAGGATCTTCATTTAATGGTGTAACTGGGCTAAGAGTTAGCTTTGGGAAGTCAAGCAAGCTTGGAGACAAGATCTCTGCATTCCTTGGTGAATTTGCAACACTAGTAGGAAGAAAAGTGTTGATCATGAGGCTGTTTTTCAGGTTACTGTTTCTTCTTTCATAAAGTTTGAAATTTGGTTTTTTGGGAGAGTTGGTTTTGATGGGAGGTATAGGAAAAGATGATTTTGATGGTAACAGTGGATCTTGTTGCTGTTGCTGAAGATGATGATGTTGGTTTTGTTGTTGTGTTGGAGGTTTTGAGGAAGCTTGTTTAGCGGTTTCTGATGAGCCAGTTAGCATTTGGACAACCTGTTTGAAATTAGTTGTGTCAGCTTGGACAAAGGTTGTTGGGTAAGGGTTGGTTTCAGATCTGGAGATGGGAATTGGTGTTAGAGGTGGGGTGTGAATTTGGACAACCCCATTGCTGCTGCTGCTGTTGTTTGCATTGCTATGTGGGGAACTTAAAGGAGATGACCTTTTTGAATTCTCCATTGATGGGCGATCTCTTTAGCACCCCCACCCTCAAAGAGAAAGAGAAAGGAAAGAAAATAGGAAGACTTTTGGGGTTAGTTTGGTTGGAGGGGAAAGAAGAGATGATGAGTGAAAAACAAGGCTTGATTGATGAGATGATCAGAAGAAGTTGCTTATTTGTTTTGTTTTCCTGTGTTGTGGCAGCAACAAAGAGGCTACAGTTAGTGTATTCTCTTTCTGCTTTTCTCTCATTATTATTTTAGTCCCTTTTTAAAACTACTTTCTCACTCTATTGAACTTCTATTCTTCTTGGTGTTTGAGAATTTAGATAAAAAATCCAAAAAAAAAAAAAAAACCCAATTGGTTTTGGGATTACTGAAAAGATGAAGGGTAGTGGTTGAATATGGAATTTCCTATGGCCATCAGCATCAATGCCACCTGTGTCAAAATCCATTGAAATATATCTGGCATTGGGCATTGACTTCAGAGCCCTAACTACATAGACTCTTGTGTTGAAGTGTTGATGGGATTGGAGATGATGGGAACATTTTTTATGCAACACCACAACACCACCACCACCACCAAAGAAGAACAAATTTTTGTAGTGTTGGCATTTTTAGGCTCCTATATTTCATTGTCCAATACAAATTGAAGATGCATTTTAGTGGATGTGGCACAATTAGATTGATTCTGTCAAACGTGAGTTCATGCCTTAAAAAGTTCTTTTGTTTCATACTTTATTAACATAATGCCCTTTGTGAATCCATGAAATTTCATCATCGAAATATTAAAACAAAGGGAAAATGTAATTGTAATTTTATATTTTGCGAAGTATTAATACCTCAAAATATCTTTTTTTTCAAAAAAAAAACTTTAAATTTCCCTTTTTTTACTACTTTTGTTAAAAATGTTGAATTCGATTTTTTTTAAATAAAAATTCGTGTCGGGGAGCTTTTGTTACAAACCAACATCATATATATGTAGGTACAGAGGGATGAATTTTGTATATTGGGAGAGGAAATAGGATTGATTCTTGTATCTTAATCCTCTAAATATGATATTTGGTTATATCTTTTTACTACATATTTTTCTAATAACTTGCAATGTAAATTTATCTAAAATATATATCGAATGTAAAAAAAAATTTATGAAAAAAATTAATTTTAATATTAAATACATTTAAATCAATTTTTTTTTAAATTCCGTAAAAATTAATATAAGATAAACAAATAGGAATTGAGGGAGTATCTAATGTAAAAATCCTGCCTTGAAATACTATTTGATCATCGGTTTGAGTAGGGTCAATACAACATCCTACTATTTTTTTTGAAGAGGAAATATATTTAATTTATGAAGAAAAATAATCTATAAACCTGTACAAGGGTTGAATTATGGATAAATTTTTTAATTTTTTTTTTTAATTTAACATATATTTTTAATAATTTTTAATATTTTAATTACATTTTAAAATTTTAAAATTTATTGAGCCTAATGAACTAGATCAAGATCGAATCAAAATTTTTAAAAATCAATGCCTAACTTATCAACACCTCTAGAACCAAGAACAAAACTAAAAATTCTCTGACATCATTTCATGACTTCTATCACATGTCTTTTAATGTATTAAACGAATAATACGTTATGTCATAACTCATAAGCAAAAGAAAGATAATTATAACTTCTTTTTTGGGTTAAAACACTAAACTTTTTTTAAATGAATCTGTTCGGATTCTCAATTTCATGATGGGATCCCAGTTTTCAAATTGTTGCATCCTTACTAACATGAGGGTTCTTTATTGAATTAAAAAAAATTTATTTTATGTATCATAAGGTAATAGAAAATTATTTTAAAATTTTTAAAATTATAATCTAATATATACAATAACTCTATAATTCTTAAAATGTTGTAAGTGTTCAAATTTAAATTTTAGATTTGATAAATATTATTTTTTAAAAATAATTATATAAATCAATTGAATTAAAATTTAAATTTGAATGTGTATAATTCTCTTTTTAAAAAATATGATTTGAAATAATTTTTATAAAAAAATTAGATATATAGTTGCTATTTAAATTCGTTTGTTACATTTAAAAGCTGAATGTATAAAATTATTAATAAAAAAAAGAAAGAGAGAATCAAATTCTCATATATAATGGGATAGGTAAGAAAAATATATATATAGAAAGAGAGAGAGAGAGGAAAAGGAAGGTTGGGGGACCAATGTTCCACTACCAACACTGCAATGCTTCCTCTTGAACAGGGATCACATTCTTTCTTCAACAAACCAAACTCATCATATTGTCTGGATCGTGGAGTTCCTAACATACTCCAATTATAATAATAATAATAATAATAATAAATTAATTTCCTCAAAATCGTACAATCCTCGATCGATTAAAGCACAGCCAACAAAAACACACAAAAAAAGTGATTTTTCATCTATCATAAAATATCAATTATATAAATAAATGATTGATTCAATTGATTAAATTCGTTTTTAAAAAAAAAAATTTTAATTTAAATTTTATCGAAAATCATTTATTAAGGTCATTTTAAATGCATGATTTATAATCACCTGTTTTAAATTATCAAATATAACACATCTTATCATAACTGAAAAAATTAAATAATTTATCTACTTTTAAATTATTTTTTTTAGAAAAAAGAATATCAATTACAAGTTCTCACCATTAATTTACGGAAAATTCCTCGAATCAACCTAAGTTTCACTTTAAAACCATTCACTATCTTATCAGTGTCTCCATCCCATTTTATCGAAATATATTCTTTTCCTTCCAATTTCAACGTCGACATTATTACGTTTTGATCATTTATAATGTTAGAAAATTTTGTTTCTTTTAATGCTTAAAATTTATTGATTCAATTTTATGTTTGATTTATTCAATTATATATTAATTTTTTATTTATTAGTTTGATTTTTATTTTTTTATTTAATTGATTTAATTGCAAAACACCCCTAAACTTACAACTCAATTCCAACATTTCAACAAAGAAAATTCCCATAAGCTAGCAATTATCAAGCTGTCCCAAAGCTCCTACAAAATCATTGACTCCAACATCAAATCAAAGCCATTAGATTCACAAATGGAGCAAACTGAAAGAGGAAAAAAAAGTACATAAAATAATTTAAATCTTGTTAGCCAAAGCCAAGTCAATATACATTTTTTTCGAGTCAAATCAGACGTCCTATCATAAATATTTAATAAGATAAAATGAAATTAAAACTCATTATCGTCGTTCATAATAAGTTGTTGAATTAAATTTTTCGAAAATTTTCATGAAATGTATTTGTTAGTTTGATTATTATAATTGGGTTATTAATTATCGACAAATCATATGTGGATTGTAAATTAAGCATAGGAAACTTTAAAAAAAAAAAATTTTAGGGTTTGACCGGCCGCTTGACTAAATCTTTAAAAATTTTAAGAATTAGGTATCAATTTGGTGTTTCTTTAATGTATATTGACTTGATTTGATTTTATTTTATTATCCTGATTTGGTAGCACTCTTACGTTGGAATAGTAGACAATTGATTTTATTATCAATTAATGACGTATACAATTCTAGAAAATATGAGGAAATGATTTTGCCAAGCTATAAAATAAATTAGATCAAGTATATTATCAATTTTGTTAGAAAATTGGGGTTTAGCTTCATGTTAGTGATTTTGGATAAAGTGAAAATTATGGGCTTTGATTTTTTATTTTACATAAAACCTTAGTTATTTAATAAAAAAGAAGTAGGGTTATTTTAAGAGTGTGTCGAAAATCAAGTAGAAAAAAAAAAAGAGAGAGTTAGTTGAACGAAAATCGATCCGTGGTCCGATTGAGTTAAAATTTTGTCAGGAGATTTAAGATTCAGAGTTCTACATTCTGAACGGTGAAGAGCGGGTTTGAAGTTTTCAGGAACAAATCTAAGGTGTATTTGTTGAGTCACTTATTTGATGAAATTTCTCAAATTGTTTCGCTAGTTATTGTTTAACTTTAATTTTAGCTAGAAAAGAACTTTGTATACCTATTATTTGATAGTGAAAATTTTTTTGGTTGTCCGTGATTTTTTTTCTCTGCATTGAAGGGTTTTTCATGTAAATCTTGATGTGCTTTATTTTTCTTACGTTTTTTATTATTGATTGTTGTCTATTACTTTTGTATTGTTGTGATTATTTCTTCAGGTGCAACAAATTTTTTTCACAATAATCACAAATGATCAAAGAATTAATTGTCAAGTAAACTCAAAATTTAATTAAATTATTTCATATAAGCATTCTTAACTATTAGGATCTAATAAATTTAAAATTCATTTTTCAAAATTTATAATTTTTTTTATCTCACATCGGTCAAAAGATAAAGAGTAGGAAATACAAGTTTTTTTTTTTTTTCAGGGGACTAGTGGAAGTAATTACCACCTTCAGGAAAGCCTATTCTAGAATGGAATTTTATTTTCAATAGAATTAGCTCAAGTAGTTAGAGTTTCTCTGCTCTTCTAGGCTATAATACAGCTAAAATTGATGTTCATTTTAGTTATAATACTGTTTGAAATTCCATTTCAGTGGGCTATACTTTATAATTTTTTTTGTTTTATTTTCAATTTTTATTTTTAATAAGCCATTGAAATTTGAACTCAATTAATAAATAAACTTATTAACTTTAAACACGAAATGATAATATTATATGAAATTTTTTTAAAAAATTAAAAATATATAATTTAAAATTTTAATAAAAATTATATATGTATTTACTAAAAATTAAAAATATTTTATATTTTCTGTATAAATATGAATTATTAAATGAATTGTATGTCATGAATATATCGCCAAAATTAGTAGCCAACCCCACATTTTTATTTTCTAGATGGTTCAAGTTCATCAATCTCTAAAGGAAGAAAATGATTACCAACACACCATTGAAAGGAAATTATAAGAGTGATGACAATCACAGAAGAAAAAAATGGTTGCTACAATATCAAACATCATTAAAGAAAATACAGGAATGAAGTATTTTTTTCTTTCCACTAGATGTGAAATCTTTGCTTGGAATATCGTTTTAGATTGGAGTGGTCATAGTTTCATGGAGAAACTATTGTTGTGTTCATCAAAGTGCTCGAGCAACATTTTTTAATTCGTTTAAGCAAGATTGGAGTATCTTCTGGCGCTTTTGAAGAGATTGGCGTTCGTTCTGCAGCACATCAATGGCGCCAGGAGCAACAAAAATGTCCATGAATTTCTCATCATTAACAGCAAAAAGGTCCGACTGAAGTGAAAATGAAGTCAATAATATGATATTAGAGTACTCACTTCCTAGATAAGATCGAAAAAGAAGAACAAAAAAGTATGAATGGCAATTTACTACAATCCGTTCTCATATAAAATGGCCAACAGTCACACGATCTGTTGATAAAATATTAGACTTTTAGTTTCAATTATCAGGTTCAATCCGGGCAACCTCAAAATATCAAAATAATAATAATAATAATAAAAAGTAAAATAAATGAAGGACAAGAAAGTTGAGGTATGGAAGGTTAAACC